CCGCAGCTTTTGCAAAAAACAGTGTTTTGAAGCTAGTCTAGCAGATTTCGGGTCACTGTTGTGGTTTTAAAAGCTCAAACTTACCACAAACCCATTCACAGCTTGTACACTCGACGACCTTTCAATGCAAATGCAAAATGGTGGCCTGAAAATCTCGAATTTTGGGTCAAAAAAGTAATGCTCCACTTACGACTTACTTTTCTCTCTTTCTCCTGCCCTATCTTTTTTCCCTTTCCTTGCCTGAGTTTTCTCCTCACTTGCTGGAAATTTAGTAGGCTTCATTTTGGTGTAGAGATTTTTTAGGAAACTACTCATATTTTCAAACCATACGCTCAGAAAGGTAGGTGGGTAATGGAACAAGATTTTCGTGCAGATTTTCAGGTCAAAGTTACATGGTGTTTGGCTATTTCTCCAGTGTCCTTCACTCAATTACGCTCATTCTGATATCGTTTGTAAGATATGTTCAACCTGTTTAAGTACATGCTCAAAGTTGTGCTCCAGGGTTAAAAGTGATGATGTCACAAGACGTAGAAAGGGTTTGGTTCCACATGGGCGCTTATGGGAGCACTGGACATCAATAGGTTAGAGTAAATTTCACCAAATAGCAATTTTAGAAGAGCTACTATTTTGCAAAATGGACTATTTTCACCCTTCAATAATAATGTCTTTCCTTTCAGGTCACAAAAATATATTGAAACATTACATTAGAGTATATTCCCAGTCACCTCCTCTTTCACCATTCATATAAAATTAATTTTGCAAAGTAGGAACGTCTAAAAAATAACCATTTTGCAAAATGGAATATTTTTCATCCTTTAATAAGTAATGTCTCTCTTTTAAGGTCCAAAATTTACTATTAAACTTTACAACATGGTATATTCCCAAAAATCTTATTCAACTCTTATTTCTGAAACCGTATTACATTATATCTCGCAAGGTAGTAATTTTGTAAGAATTGCAAAATGAACAATTTTTATGCCATAATGAAAAATATCACCATTCTACAGTACAGATACACATTTGATTACTTAAAAGCTTCAAACATGCTTTGGAAACCCAGATTAAATACAATAGAATGCCACTAACTCAAGCCCCGGGTAACCAGAACAAGATCCAATTTCTCTTAACCCAATTTTTCAGTACTTAATATCAACTGACACAAACATTTTTTGACACACAAGGAAATTCAGGCTAGCTGGGTTCTAGGGTAATGACATTATAGATATGGAAACAAGGTTGAAATACTATTGATTTGTTGAATTAGGTCTTTGAGTAATTTTTGCCTGTTTCAAACTTAAAAACTGTCATCATTACAAGGAGCAAATCCTTGTGACTATCTTTCAAACACTGCTTTACTACAAGTGCCTTGGAAGGATGCATCTCTTATCAATGCAGTAAAACCTTTTTGCCTTCTTTTTATGTTACCACCACTTCAACATTGCCGTTATCATCTTCTTTGGGGTAGCTATTAATAATGCTCTTCGTGAAGTAGAGTAATGTCATAGGGCGCTATTCTGTACTCACTAGGGGAACTCATTCAAGCAACCTGTGCATGTTATTGTATCAAACAATACACTAGTTCATAGTTGTCGATTATGACTAAATGAACCTGTTTGTAACCCAAACCTCTTGTTGAAAGTTTATTGAGATGGAATCACTTGAAGCTGACATGAGGAAAACACTGTATTTTTGTTTGGCAGTGAAGAAGTTATGGCCACCACTAATCAACACTCTTATGAAGAAGGAAAGGTGAGACTTGCAAACCCATTCAGGGTTCAGTCCATTTTGCAAAATAGTATCTCTCCTAAAATTACTATTTTGCAAAATTTACTTTGATGTAGTTTATGAAATAAAAGGAGGCCAAAAATCTTTGGTGATATACTAATTTGAACTGTTTAAATGTATTTTTGTGACATGAAAGTGGTCATGTTGTCACCACAGGGTGAAAATAGTCAATTTTGCAAAATAGTATTTTTTAATTACTACTTTGTGAAATGTATAAAAATACTTCTTACTAATTGACAATTATTACTCCAAAATCCTTGTGAAAAATATTTTTACCTCAAAAGAAAATAGATCTGCATCATTCTTTTAGTTTTGTTACATCTCGCCTGGTTTTGTTTCATTTTGTTTCACAAAATAGCACAAGCCTTTATGCACTGGGAGATTTTTTATTTTTCACTTTTGCTAGGTGTTGAAAAGAGTTTGATTGCAAAACCTGTGCAGAATGTATTCAGGAACTTGTAACAAAGACAATGACATAATAACCTCTGTTGTTGTCACATAACATATGCGACCTGGTGACATTCTTTACCAAATAATTGTTGTCTGCAATGATTATTAGAATAGTGTTAAATAATTAAGGAGCAAAGCATTTTTCAAACACCATTCCTAAGGATCTCGAGATAAGTTTAGGTTTAGAGTCATTCCAAAAGATCTCAATATTAGTTTTAAAATTTATTTTTTGGTGTTTTGTCCAATCACTAGTTGTTGTTATTATTATTATTTAGCAGGCTGCATATACAATCAACACTTTTGGTGAACTGACAGATTCATTCTTCTGGCCTGTTGAGTTTTCTGCAAATTTACAGATTTCCATTTCACAAATTACAGATTTCTATTTAATTGCAAATCATGAACAGATTGCCATTTTGCAGATTACAGATTTCTATTTTGCAAATTATACTGGGCCCTTAAATAAGGGATTTAAGTTGCCTACACAGTTCAATCGCAAGAAATTTGCAAAACCTCAAAACATGGTAAATCAGATGCCAATGTGAATAAAATAGAGCCAAAAGGCAGTCAAACAGATATGCACAAATCAACATGAAGAAATAACAAAATCACTCTGCAGCACAACAAAATATTTCCATATCCATCATTGGGACCGTTATCGCTGATTTGAAGCCTTTTCCTTTCCTGCTGAGAATTCTTATGCAAATTTCATCTTAATTTGGAAGGTCTACAAAGGTGTATTTTGATCAGTGATAACCTGTACAAAAATTTGGAACCTGACAGAGTCAGTATACAGCCTGATTCTGGCTTGATTACCATTCACAGAGTCAAGCATCGACATGACAAGAGCCAGACAAAAAAATTGTCTGGCTCTCAGCTAATGAGCCGCACAAATGTTATGCTCTTGACTGGACCATAACCAGCTAGACAAGGCTAACAGGAGCAGGGCAAGAGCCAAACTGGTTGCAGCTTGGAGCTTGGATTACTACCAACAGTACACTTTATCTCTCAAAAATACATTGACAGCCTCCACTCGAGACGCGACTGTCAAAACTTTCAAGAAGTGTGAATCAAGAATTGAGAGTTTGATTGGATGCCAGGCTTCTAAGCCTACTTGAAAATTAACAAATAATCACACAGAAAAGAAACAAATCATTCATAATATAGGAGGTGAAGTGGAGGTTAATGTGGTCTCTCTAAAGGAACTCCAAAAACATTCTGAGCCTGAGTACGAGCAATGCTGAGGTTGCATTTAATTGGAGGGATGTATTTCAGGGCTAGCTCATGCATATATCAATCAAGAGCTGTGCAATAAAATGGAAAAGAATAGTTGAGGACCAAGCTTAAATTTGATTAAAAAATAATGATGAAAAACTTCAAGATGCTAAAACAAAACAAAGCAATTAATCCCTTATTAAAGTGCATGACATTCTAGCCAGAAACTCACCGCATGACTAGGTACTCAAACAACTTTTGATCAAAAGGAGTGTCCCTCCCAACTCCAGCAACCTTGGTATTCCACCACTTAGAAAATGCATTCACATCTTCACAGTCTTCCAGAAAGACACCGGTGGCAGGTTTTGCAACTGAACCATTTGGACAAGGACAGTTGGGCATAACGACAAACCCTGGATATCGGTATATCTCAGAGTCCATATCTCTTTTAATTTTGCCTGAAAGATTTTCATCAACAAACACCTGTAGAGCCTGTTTGTCTTTCTGTAATTGTGCCTTCGCTTTGGAATATTGCCCTGGTGTTTTCTTAGCTGCCTTCACCTGGAAAACAAAAATGGTAGAATGCTCAAAATTTATTAACAATGAAAGGATGCTTTTTTCAATGAAGTAAACATGACATAACAGCCACCCAAAATAACAACAAAATAATAACATCCCTTATATTTAAAATTCAGGATTAGAAAAGGTTCAGATGAGACCTGATATGTGTGATGTTATTCAAAATACTTTGAAACACCTCGAGGTATCCTTAACCTCTAATAGAAAAACTATTGGTAGCAGTTATTAATCAACTTATTATATTTCTAATCATATAATTGGTCAGTTTTAAAAATTTAAAGAATAACAGCTCGACTAAGCAATGCCCAAATACAACTGACTAGCTATATCATTAATATGGAAAAGGACTGCAAGCTTGTCCAAGTTTTGTAATAAATAGTTAAAAAAATTCCTCTGACAGCCAAGTTATGTTATAGTGTTAATGAACTAGGGTTTAATTAATGTTATAGTGTTAATGAATTAGGATTTAAATAATGGGAACCATCACGAGGTGCAAGATACATGACATGAGAGGTCCCAGAGAGTAAACATATATAGCTAAGTTGCATGCATATTGAGGTGGTGATATATTGTGTAACTGTAGTTTAGGTAGTGACTATTAAAGTTCAGTCGGCCGTTTTAACCAAAGATTGGCATCACTTTTCTGCAGTAAGACACGACAACTGGTGACGAGGATGGCTGAACGAGAAGAACCAACGAATTCCACGGCACAACATACGGTGGTAGTGAATTTGCTCATCCGTCGAGTTGAGGAGTTTGTACGGGGCTCAGACTGGAAGCATTATGTCGAGTAAATGGAAATGTTCTTTGAGGTCAACAATGTGTTGGAAGCAAAAAAGGTACCAACAATACTTACCTTAATGGGTAATAAGATGTATGCGTTACTTAAAAGCATTGTATCTCCAAGAAGGCCGAAAGATTTGTCTTTTGCGGAAATTGTGGATAATTTGGCCAAGCACCTGGATCCGAAGCCGATAGTCATAGCCGAGCGTTTCAAGTTCCACAAGGCAGAACAGCAAGAGTCGGAAGCAATAAGAGATTTCGTTGCTAGATTGAAAAAGTTGGCTGAGACTTGTGAGTTTGGCGGTTATCGCGAAGAGGCGATTCAGGATCGATTTGTGTGTGGTTTAAAGGAGCGAACGATTCAACGCAAGTTACTTGCAGTAGCGGACTTAACTTTACAAATGGCTGTCGAGCGGGAGTGTGCTGCGGAACTGACTGAAAAGGAAACCACTGCATTGCATGAAGGAAGTGTGGAAGAAGTAAAAAAAGTGGCAGCTACATTTCCCGAGTGCTTTCGTTGTGGAAAAGTCAATCACTCGTCGGACACGAGTTTCTTTCGCAATTCCAAGTGTCATGGTTGTCAAAGGGTGAGTCACATTGTGAAGAATGTCCTGAGGAGCAAACACCTGAAAATGGGAAGAAAAAGTGGAGCACAAAGTCGAAATTTGGGAAAAAAAAAAAGAAACAGCAGAAGGTTCATTTCATCGAAGAAGATCGGGCAGTCAGACAATCAGTGAGCGGAAGTGATTGGCCCATTTTTACAGTCTCAGATTCCCATGGAACACGTAAAGAGTTTATTGTACCAGTAGCAATCGATGGGAAAACTGTGGACATGGAACTTGACACTGGAGCTTCTGTAACTATTATTCCCAAGAGTATTTGGACTGATGTTCTCGCGTCAAAACCTGTGGAACTCACAGACGTGAAACTACGAAGTTATTCTGGTCATGAAATTCCTGTTATTGGAGAAGCTAGAGTTCAAGTTGCATACCGCGATCAAGAAGCAGTATTACCGCTTGTTATCACAGGAAATGATGGTCCAGTGTTAATGGGTCATGATAAGCTGTCCGTGTTGAAGTTGGACTGGAGACAGATCAAGCAGATTTCCTTAGAATCGGTTAACAAGTTGGACTTGCTTCGAACGAAGTATTCATCGTTATTTGATGGTAATCTGGGAACCATTAAAGGAGTTACTGCACATTTGAAGCTTAACGAAAACGCAGTGCCGCAGTTCTTTAAACCCAGAGCAGTACTGTTTGCATTAAAAGAGAAGATTGCTGACGAACTTCAAAGACTGGAAAAGATCGGCGTGCTGGAAAAAGTGGATTTTTTGGATTGGGCCACGCCCATCGTCCCCATGCTGAAACCTGACGGCAGTGTTCAAATCAGTGGTGATTATAAGGTAATGATTAACCCTGTTTTGGATGTACCAGAACACCCAATGCCTACAGCTGATTACCTGTTCACCCAGTTGAATGGAGGGGAAAAGTTTACCAAGCTGGACTTGTCTTCAGCGTACCAGCAAGTGCTTTTGGATGAGGAATCGAGACAGTACGTAACCATCAATACTCACCTTGGCCTATTCCAATAAACCCATCTCCCCTTTGGTGTAGCGTCTAGTCCTGCAATTTTTCAGAAGACAATGAATTCAGTCATCACTGGTCTTCAGGGTGTTGGTGGTATTCTCGATGATCTCATTATCACTGGTTCAAATGATGAAGCACATTTTTGCAATCTAGCAAGCACTTTGGAGCGAATGAGCAGCATGGGAATAAAGTTGAAGAAAGAAAAGTGTGTGTTTATGAAGCCATCAGTAGAATACTTCGCTTTCATGGTGGATAATGATGGTATTCACCCATCTCCTTGTAAGGTTCAAGCTATTCAAGAGGTGCCAGTACCGGAGAACCCAACGGAACTGAAATCCTTTCTGGGATTGATTAATTACTATTGCAGATTTATTCCTGACATGACTACCCTGGCTCAGCCCTTGAATCGTTTATTAGTGGAGAACATTCCGTGGAAATGGTCAAAACAATGTCAAGAAGCATTTCAGAAGCTGAAAGGCTTTTTGCAATCTGCACCTCTGCTGGCACATTACAATCCAAAAAAGCCGGTGCGACTGGCAGTTGATTCATCGTCTTTTGGATTAGGAGCTGTGTTGTCACACATTTCTGAGGATGGCGAAGAGAAGCCGATAGCTTTTGCCTCCCGTACTCTTTCCTTGAGTGAACAGAACTATTAAATGATTGAAAAGGAGGCCTTGGCAATTATCTTTGGTGTAAAAAAGTTTCACCAGTACCTGTTTGGTCGACGATTTACTTTGCTGACAGATCACAAACCCCTAACCTACATCCTTGGTCCGAAACGTGGGATTCCAGTCCTTGCCGCGTCTCGCCTACAGCGATGGTCCATTCAACTGGCAGCTTACACTTATGACATTGAATATCGTGCGTCTAAGAACCATGGAAATGCAGACGCATTGTCTCGCTTGCCTAGGAAAACCATTGAAGAAGCTGACGACTGGTTGATAGAGGGAGATCAAGTCAACAAAGTTTGAATTGAAGGTACACCCATTACAGCAACCAGAATCAGAGAGGCTACAAGAAGTGATCCCGTTCTGTCACATGTCTTACATTACGTATTGCATGGTTGGCCAGCAGAAGAGAATACACCTGAGGAACTCAGATTTTATCGCGCCAAACGTGAAGAGTTTACAGTTCGGGATGGTTGTTTGTTGCGTGGCACAAGAGTAGTGATACCCTCTAGATATCGACAGGAAGTGCTGTCTGAATTACATCTTAACCACCCAGGAATGGTGCGAATGAAGTCTTTGGCACGATTGCATGTCTGGTGGCCAAACCTGGATGGTGACATCGAACAGACCATGAGAGATTGCATTGATTGTTCAGCCAACCGTTGTAGGGTGCCTCTTAAGGTGGTCAACCCATGGATCTGGCCTACTCGCCCGTGGCAGCGTTTACATGTGGATTTTGCTGGACCATTCAATGGAGGAATGTTTCTTATAGTGGTTGATGCCAAGTCTAAGTGGATAGAAGTGATTCAAATGTCCTCCACCACTGCCTGCACCACAATTGGAGCTGTATGCGGCTTGTTTGCTACGCATGGCTTGCCGGAGGAGATAGTGGCTGACAATGGTCTGCAGTTTGTCGCAGGGGAAATGAAAGATTTCTTAACTTCCAATGGTGTTCGCCTGTGTTTGTCGTCACCATATCATCCTGCATCCAATGGTGAAGCTGAACGTGCAGTTCGGACATTTAAGGAAGCCATGAGAGTCATTAAGAATGAACCAGGTACCCATACGCAGAAATTGGCTCGATTCCTTTTGAGCTACCAAACCACGCCCCATACCGCCACTGGGTATCCACCAGCAGAAATTTTGATGGGTCGCACATTGAGAACAAGGCTTGAGTTGCTTAGACCCGACTTGTCTGCACGGATGGAACAAAAGTCAAGGAGGATAAATCCCATGGTCCGAAGTGGTTTTGAGATTGGTGAACCTGTCATGGTGACGGATTATCGTAATCGTGGATCCGCTTGGACTAAGGGGGTTGTTCAAGATCGACTGGGTCTGGTCACATACCGAGTGCAAGTTGAAAAGTTGCTCTGGAAAAGACATGTCGATCAGTTGCGAGGACTAGCTGGCTCAATGGTACCCGATGTTGAACTGAATAGCTGTGAAATACCAGAGATCGATTTGCCTGAGAAGGTAGATGCAAGTGTGTCTGCTCCAAATCAAGACCTATCGCCCCAACAACAGTCTATGCCGAATGAGAAGTTTACCAAGCCCTGGGTTGAAGTGGCACCACCTGGACAGAGTATTACACTAGAAGAAGATGTTACGGATAATACTGTTCCTGAAGAGCCTAAATGTCGTTCAACTAGAACTCGATTGAAACCTAAACGTTTAATTGAAGAGATGTAGTTGAATATTGAACTCTCAGTAGAACACTCTTAATTATGGCAATTACACGTTTTGGAATAGTTTTCGCTTTGTTTTCTTTCGCTTTGCTTATTTTTCTGTTAATTTAATTTGTAGTTTAAGCGGAAGGAGATGTTATAGTGTTAATGAACTAGGGTTTAATTAATGTTATAGTGTTAACCCATTGACGTCCAGTGCGCCTGTATGCACCCATGGGGACCCACACCCTTTCTACGCCTTGTGACGTCATCACTTTTAACCCTTGAGCATGAATTTGAGCACCTACTTGAACAGGTTGAAAATATCTTACAGACGATACCAGTATGAGCGCAATTGAGTGAAGGAGATTGGAGAAATAGCCAAAAAACCATGTCGCTNGTTTTCTTTCGCTTTGCTTATTTTTCTGTTAATTTAATTTGTAGTTTAAGCGGGAGGAGATGTTATAGTGTTAATGAACTAGGGTTTAATTAATGTTATAGTGTTAATGAATTAGGATTTAAATAATAGGAACCATCACTAGGTGTAAGATACATGACATGAGAGGTCCCAGAGAGTAAACATATATAGCTAAGTTGCATGCATATTGAGGTGGTGATATATTGTGTAACTGTAGTTTAGGTAGTGATTATTAAAGTTCGGTCAGCCGTTTTAACCAAGGATTGGCGTCACTTTTCTGCAGTAAGACACAACAAATTAGACGACCTAAGGCCTCGTCAAATTTTGGTTGTCCTCAGATTTTGTTTTTCATCCAATTATTTCCCCAGTTGGACAGCATCTTGTCCTGTTACACATATTGATTATCCAGAATAATTGAGGACACACTGCAAACTTGAAACTTTTTTTCTAATTTCTGCTGATAATTTGTCCTCCCACGGCTTTAAAACAACTGATTTTAGAATGTACCTATTTCATGTAACAAGTTCTCAGAGAGTGGGGTTAAGAAATGTCAAGAGTTTACAACATGGGTATACTGGCTGTAAACCACTGTATTTTGCAACTAATGCAGACACACGAAAATTTACCTGAATTAACAAGAATAGACCATAATAATGACTAGAAAATACTAGTTCCTGTTCACAAGTCAATCTTGCAATCATAAAATGCATTACATTTGTTTTCTCTGGTAAATACTTTCTGTTTACCTGGAAAAATATAATTCCACACCGGCGATGAATAACAACGAAATCGTGTTCTCCAGTCAGCCACTTTTTTGTCTCGTTGTTGGATCCCTTATTCCATTCAGAAATAATCTCCGCAAAATTGTAGGAGTGAATCACAAACATAGATTCTGAACGATTCCCTCCAAAATTTTGCAAAAGGTCGAAAAACTTCTTCTCTGTCTGCTCCCCATTATCTGGTCCACGTGTTCGGTACGAGAACTCACAGGGGACCATATGAGTCCCTTTTGGGTCCCTCCAGTCCTCATAGTTGCTATCCAGAAGGGTAATCACCTCCTCATCCCAGTTTCCCTCTCTGTTACCATTCAAGGACTCTAGGCAGGCAGTTCGAACAACACATCTACCAAGCATTGTCTTGTTGACGTTGATTTTTAGAAATCTAATGATCTGCAGGGAAGAAATTCTTGTTTTCAGTACTAAATTAGAATTAAATTCACTGCCAGATCCCTAAGAGTTAGCAATCAAATAGAAAATAATCGATTTCAGTCGAACACAATAGCCCTTTTTACAGTTCCCAGCGCCATATTGGATGTGTAACTGCGCAAACATGATAGCGAGGTTAGTGTTGAGTCGCGTTGCGAGTTCTAGTGAGAGTTTAGTGAAATGTGGTGGTGCTCTGTCCTTTTCATCGAGATATTTCAACAATGAACGATACTTTCCCTACGCAGGATATACCTCCTTCTTCTTCGAAAGGAAGAGGAAGACACTGTGCCGCTTTTTGGTTGTGCTAATAGCTATTATGACACAACAGGCAATCCAACACTTCTGCATTTCTTCTCGTTTCCGAATGACGTCCAGCAGCAAATCAGATGGTGCAATCTCCTGAAGCGCCAGCATGGAAAGGACGGATTCTTCATCACAAAATCAACTTTTTTGTGCTCAGAACATTTCAAAACAGAAGACGTGCGAAAAACATGGGCAGGTCGCTGGAAATTGGTGAAAGGTTTACAATGTTTGTACGGTTGTTTTGTTGCTTGAATATCGAAAGAAAATGCCTGCTTTGATTTTGGGTATTGAAGTGTTTATGCTGGGATTTTTTTCTCCTTATTAAAAAGGTGACATTTATACTTCTTTGTGCACTGTGGTCTTATACCATATCTGTGAACTGAATGTAAAATTATGAAATTATAATGTAAAATTAAAATGTAAAAATTTATAAAATGATGAGTTTTATTATTATATATACAGGCAGAACCATCTCAATTTAACTAGTCAGTACTGAAAAAACCACGGAAAATGCCTGCTTAAAGGGTCCCAGTATTAACTGTGGCAACTCAAGAGTCATTTGAAGTTGAACAGGAATTATTTCACCAAGAAGTTGAAGCACCTGTGTCAACTGTCAATGCTGCTTCATCTTCACCAGCCTTGCAACAATCAGATGTCCTTAAGCGATGTCCTTAAGCTGCAACGGGAAATGAAGCTACTGCAAGTACAATTAGCTGACTTGAAAGAAAAACTAAGTGAAGTTGAAAATGAGAGGGATATTTTATTGGCATGCCAGTTTTCAATTGACAAAATTAAAGATGATGAGTCTGTGGTTCTATTTTATACTGGATTCCCAAACTATAGAGCACTCATAAGCTTCTATAATTTTATGGAACCAATGCTGGCAAAGATGCAGTACTGGAAAGGAGAGAAATTGTCAAAAGAGAGTCAGCCATACCAAACAGATGATAACAGAAATAAGCCGGGGCCTTCAAGAAACTGTCATTCTTGGATGAATTTTTGCTCAAACTTATGAGACTAAAGGCTGGGTTATTTGTACAAGATCTTGCTGATAGATTTGGGATCAGCAAGAGCCTGGTGTCCAGAATCTGCATTACATGGATTAATCTTAACTATGTGGAACTGAAAGAACCTTTCCCATTTCCAGCACAAGAACTTGTTCACAAAAATATGCTGCAAGAGTTTGCTCAATATGCAACAACTAGGATTATTTTAGACTGTACAGAACTGTTTATTTTTTCTCCTGTGAATAATAATGTTAATTATTGTCAATAGGCTCTTCGAAATGTTATGTTTGAAGAATAGAATTTTGAAGCTCCTTCCCATAAAGACATAGTTTAACTCGCGTTTTATTGTCATGCCAATCACTTCCCTTATTTACACAATGTACAATGGTACCTTATCTTGATTTTACAAGCCCAACATCATCTTTTTTTCCCTGAGTACTAACAACATTAATATTAATATTTCTTAATGTAAGGAAAGATTACACCTAAATCAATTTGAGCATTAAATTTGAGCTGGTGAAGGTGAAGCAGCATTGACAGTTGACACAGGTGCTTTAACTTCTTGGTGAAATAATTCCTGTTCAACTTCAAATGACTCTCCTTCAGTTGTCACAGTTGCTACCGGGACCCTTTTAGCAGGCATTTTCCATAGTTTTTTCGGTACTGACCAGTTAAATCGAGATGGTTCTGCCCATATATATAATAATTAAACTCATCATTTTATAAATTTATAATTTTACATTTTAATTGTACATTACAATTTTATAATTTTACATTCAGTTCACAGATATCGTATAAGACCACAGTACACAAAGAAATATAAATATCACCTTTTTAATAAGGAGAAAAAAATCCCCCCCCCCCAAAAAA